TTGCTTGTTGCACAATTTAATCTCAAACTTCTGACCTTAAGCCATCTTCCCTTCTTGGCCTGCCAAAGTGCTGGGATTACAGGGGTGAGCTATGGCGCCCAGCCATTTTGCTTTTATTTCTTAAGGATATTTTCACTGTGCATAAAATTTTGGATTTGTGGTTATTTAAAGCTTATTAAAGATGTTATTCTATTGTTTTCTTTCTTGCATTGTTCCCCTGGAGAAGTGAGCTTGAATTATTATTGAAGTTTGAGTTTTTCTCAAGCTACTTTTAAGCTTTTCCTTTTATCTTTTGTTTTTAGCTTTTTTACTGTGATTTTTCTAAATTATGATTTTCTTTGTACTTATTCTATTTAGAGCAGGGGTCCTCAAACTTTTTAAACAGGGGGCCAGTTCACTGTCCCTCAGACCGTTGGAGGGCCGGACTGCAGCCCCGGACGAGTCAGCTGCTAAGGAGGACAGGCAGCGGGGGCAAAAGTACCCAGCAGGTGGGATAAAGGTCCTAGGCGGGCTGCGTGTGGGGCGCCGGCCGGCCGTAGTTTGAGGACGCCTGATTTAGAGTTAGCAGAGTGCTTGATCAGTGGTTGTTTTGTCCGGAAATTCTTAGCTAGAGTCTCTTCTTATTTCGGTTTTATTTTCTCAGGAGTCCCTTTGTTGGAGTCCTATTACTCTGTGTTTAGTATGTTAGACTTTTTTACCTTTCTCATCTGTCATGTTTTGTTTTTAAAAGATTCTTTTTTTTTTCTGTGCTTCAGTTTTATTATTTATTTTTTAACTGTAATGGAATACTCAAGGTCAACAGTAATGAAAAAAAGTTACCTCGTTTCATTTTGAATTTTACAGAGACTTTTTGGCAAGATTACTAAGAATAATATACCATGTACAACTCTCCGACTCTGTGACAGAGGTGATAACCGTTGAGAAAATACATTCTTCTCTTATTTGGGAATGAATTCAGATACATTAAACTGCAAGTAATTTAACACTTAGGACTTGTATGACACTAAGATATATCATAGATTAGCCATTATACAAATTTATGGGCAAGCTTTTTGTTTGTAACAATGATTAGGGAGGTGAGAGCATTATTGGCCATTATTGAACTTGGACTAGGAATGCTATTTATTCTGCCATGCAGGAAACAGTCCCTTACAAGAATCAATAGTTACATATCTTTCATGACTTTCAACAGTTTTAGTGGAATGTTCATGTAGGTGATATACCTGCTGATAGTGATCTAATCCTCTACCCTTACATCGTTTTACGCATGAACCCTAAAATATTTTTTTTTGCATTACTTAGATACTGAATTATCCATGAATGGTACACAAAGGGAATATTGCATTTGTTTGTTTGGAACTTTATGGAATTAACCACATTTTGGAAAATCACATCAACTACCTTATTCTGCTCATGGTATTTTTGTTGCTTATAGAACTCATATTTCGTTTGCAATGCAGCACACAGTCCCAATCTGTATTTGATGGGATTCTATAGACAGGTGCAAGCATTTGATCACTTCATTGGTCTTCTATATGTCATACTGAAATAATATTATTTTGTTATGGATTGTCTTCCACTTTTTTATATTAAAGTAGGAGGCCCGTCATTTATATTGATTTCAAATTTACATGTGTAAGTACATGATATTACTTAGCAATTTTAGGTTAAGAAATTGTAATTTCATTTCAGGATTTTTTTATTGAAAAAAGAGGTCTCAAAGTCTGATCAATTCGGGTAGAATCACGGTATTTGCTAAGGTTGATTTTTAACACACAGATAAAAGTCAGTATAAAAGGTCCTTTATTTATTTATTATCTAATTGTTTTAAAAATTGTTATTGTTACGTAAAGCGGGTGTACGCACTAGCAAGCATCCACTGCCTCCGGGCCAGGAACCTTTGAGTCCTCGGTCAGAGATGCCCTTAAAGCCAGACCGGAACCTTGGTGCGGTGACGCTGGTTTCCGGCGGGCTCCTTAAAGCACTGAACAGCTTCGGCCAAAAGACCATGAGAGGGCCGGAGCCAGGTCCCGAACCAACGATGGAGGGGGACGTGCTGGACACACTGGAGGCTCTGGGGTGAGTGTTCTTGGGGCTGTCTTTCCTCCGAAAACGTAACCTTTCTTTCCGCTTGGTTGCTGAGACCTCCTTCCCTCCGGTCTCCGTCGGGCCCGCCTGGCCCGGTGCAGGCCTACTTCCTCGCCTTGCTCCCTCCGGCGCCGACAGAGTTAAGCGGGAGGCGGGAAAGAAATCCGTTTTGGGGGGTGGAGCAGGGCTGGAGAGCTGGGCGCGTGGCCCCCTCATCCAAACTTCTTTCCTTAAAACTGCGGCGGGAACGCGCGGGCGGGCGCGGAGAGGCCGGGTCGGCACTGTGGCCGCAGGTGATATTTATGTTGACGGAGATGTCACGCCCGGGGGCAGGTGCTGGAACCCGAACTTCTGCTGAGGACTCTTCACCTCCGAAAGTGTCCAACTTGTGGCAACCGAGGAGCGAATCTTTCATACCTCTTTGGCCGGAGAAAGTGTTTTAGTCAGTGCGAGCCCATTCATTCAACCATTTTATCTGTTCGCTAACAACATGTTTAATTCATTGGTACATAAGTATGTAAGTTTCCCTTAGGCAGGGGAAAATGGCACTTTTCAGATTACTATTAGTTTACGTAGTCGGGGAGGCTACAAAAGTCTACTGGTATTTGGAATTCAGGGGGATAAGTTATGTGAGAACTGGGATTGAGGTGGGGGAATACAGGCGTGGGAATCCATAATCTTTTCCTTAGCCTCATTCTGTTTTGTTTTGTTTTTTTTTTTTTTTTACCCCACAGGCCTTGTCCCTACCCAAATTTTGTTGCCTGTTTGTCTTTTGAACTCGTTTCTTTCTTTCTTTTGTTTTTGGAGACAGAGTCTCTCTCAGGCTGTCGTTCTGGGTAGAGTGCTGTAGCGTCACAGCTCACAGCAACCTCTAACTCTTGAGCTTAAAGGATTCTCTTGCCTCAGCCTCCCAAGTACCTGGGACTACAGGCGCCCTCCCCATCGCCTGGCTATTTTTTTTTTGGTTATTGCAGTTGACAATGTTGATTTAGCTGGCCCGGCTGGGTTCGAACCCGCTAGCCACGGTGTGGCAGGCGCCCTACCCACTGAGCTACAGGCGCCTCTCTTGAACTGGTTTTTTCTTCCTTTTCACCTTCCTCTTCTGCAGGTTAGCTCCTGGAAAACTGATGGCTTGTCTGTTTTGTTTGCTAATATATTCCTAGCAACACCCTAGAACAGGCTCTGTTACAATAAATAGTGGTTGAATGAATGAGTAAATAAATGAAGAATAGTACAAAGAGCAGAATGCACAGTGGTAAACATGGGACCAGATAGTTGAGAGTCAAAACATGCACATTAATTAAGGAGTTTGGAGTTATCTGCACAGTTGTTTACACTGCTGTGTGATGCAGTTTCTTGGTAGGGTAAGCCATGCCTTTGCAGTGTTAGGAAGTTCACTCTCCCCACCACCTGCTTTTTCCCTAACACTGCATTTGCACCTCTGTCACGAGTCTTTTTAGTTAGACCCTGATACCCAGTGTTACAGAGCTTTGCTCTTAGTACGTCCTGAGTATTTGTCAAGTGAAAGAACAGAACCACTGATTATTTAGGGGACATTTTTACTTCTGTAAAATCCTTAATTTGTTTTTGGGTAAGAAAGTGTCTTACATTTTATCTGTTGGCTGATCAAATTCTTCCTTAATTTGATCAAAGAAGTAACCAGAACAAAAATTAAAATTTTTAATAGAAAATTTTTAGTAGAAGTATTTAGGCCCCAAGTTGTTTGCACTCCTAAGTTATTCCAGGTGAGAATAGTGGGATCTCACAATTTATGAAACAGGAATAGATGATGCTTTTTTCCTCTTTGTTCATTAAACTTATTGTTCATATTATAGGTATATAGGAAAATGAAGTTTATTATAATCGTAGCTTTTAAGGAAAATTAGCTTCAGATTGTTCAATATGGAGAGCAAAACAGTTTATATGTTTAGAAGCATTTTTTCATAGTGTAACAATAAAATTTTAAGTCTGAAAACAATAGTTCATTTTTATTTCCAATATATAGTGTAATTAAGCACTGTGTTTTCAGATGAAGATTGTGAATAATGACTTTTCTATGGTGGATACCAATGAAGGTACTTCAGTTTGTCATGTAAAAGAAGAAATTAATGGGAGACAATAAAAGGGAACATCTCTTTGAAATAATAATTAAGTGATATAAATGAAAGTAGGCTGGAGTCACTCAGTTTTCTCTTCTGTGAAATGGGTGGGCTGGAGCAGATGATTTCGGAAGTCTCATTTTGTTCTCATAGTCTATGATTTTGTGCTGGCTGTGCATCAGAATTATGTATGAAATTTGTGAAAAATGTTCCAGTCTAGTAAATACCAGGGACTGACTGAATTGTAATTTTCAGATTGGCATGCATAGGTTCAGAAACATGAAGGGGAAGTTTATTTTAAATATTTATTGAGCACAACTGTATGTTGGACACTGTCCTGAGGAGTTAGTGGTGAGCAAAATAGATTTGGTTCTTGTTCCCGTGGAGTTTATGATATTGTGGAGAAACAGACAAGATCACACAAATAATTATAAACTGTAATAAATGCTTCAAAAGAAAAGAACAGGTGTTATAATGGGAGAATCTGTATGTAGTCTTAGGGGTTAGTGATAGATTGTTGAGGAGGTGACATTTGAGTTGAAATAGGAAGGATGAATAGAAGTTAACTGGTTGAGATTGGGTGGGAAAAGAGGACAAATATATCCTCACAGTGAAAAGAAAATATGATAAGTGGGGAGAACCATGCAGTATTAGAAAAACTGGAAGGAGGCTAATGTGGGTAGAATACAGAGTGCCTTAGTTGGTATTTATTGAGCACCAAAATGAAATGATAAACCTTGGAATTTGAATTGGATAGGGAAGAAAATGAAGATAGGAGGGAGCTAGTAAAGACAGAGCTGCAGATGGATCAATGAAATGGCCAGTAGTGATTATATCAAAGAATAATTGTAGGTGAGTGGTCAAAAGAAACCCCAAAACACCAACCTGGAAGGATCGACAGGAGGTTGTGGTTAGGGAGAGACATGTTTGAATTAGTGATTTTAGAGGTAGGGTAGTTCCGGGTGATGGGGTGGTTAATGACATGTAGAGAAAAAGGTTGGAATTAGAGCTGAGGGTATGCATTTGTATATAGGGACTTTGGAGAAACTCAGAGTTAATGGCAAGATGAGAGGAGAGAACTGAGCACAGGGAATGTTGGGGAGTGTCTACGAGAAAAGGTGGCAAATCTGACTGGTCTCAGCCTGAAGAAAGTAGGAGATCTGTATAAGATAATGAGGGAGCAATGATATGGCTGCTGTATTGGGGAACACGCAGGACAAAACCCCTCTTAACCTGATCTTGACAGATTTGAAAAAGTAAAAATACCTAAAGATGGAGGTGGTAGGGATAATCTGTCTTGAGAAAAGATAGGCGATATAGCAACATATCTAGGATGTTATGGATGGACCACATAGTGGAAGAGTTTGGGAAGCAGGGAGAGTTTCAGAGCTGGATGAGAGGCAAGGCCAATAGGGTGAGTAACAGACCAGGGAAAAGAAAGTGTCTTACATTTTATCTGTTGGCTGATGAAAATAGAAAACAGTATATTAGGCCGTGGCTGCCTTGTTGAGGAGAGTTTCCACAGGCCCTAATGGATTTGGATCACCCAGTTTGAAGTAGTGTTAACACCTGCATTTGTGATCCCAGGGGACAAAGCCATAGGGATGAAGAGGTCTAGAGGAGGTGATCCCAGTGTTTAGAGTAATAGTGCCACTGTCCAAATTGAAGAAAGAATATACGGAACAAACTAGGGGCATGGTGGTCTTAGTAAACAGCAGAAATAGCATTGAAAATCAAAGCAGTCATGAAATAAATATGGTAAACACTGAAGAGTTCTATTGTAGCATAAATAGACTTCTTAAATGTATGCCCTAATTTTTCATATTCTGCAAGAGAAGAGTGATGATAAATATTGAAAGATGTTTTGGTGAAAGTAAAAGCAGTGTTCAGGTACCATACTGTGTAAGGAGAGGTCCATGGACTGACATCATCATCATCTCCTGTGGAGGGGAAATGAACAATACCCGACCTCACTGCACTGTTTATGGTGGAAATTACACAGGAAATGTAACTTAGTACAAAAAAGCTCATAGTTATATTAAAAAACATGGAAGGACAATCTCAAACTAATAAATACAGTTACCTATGGCATGCAAAGTGTAATAGTCAAATTGAAAGAATTGGAGTGTCCATCACTTCAAGATTTATTTCTTTGTGTTAGGAACATTCTAATTCCACTCTTTTACATAAAATATACCATACCTATTGTTGACTGTTGTCGCTTTGTTGTGCTGTTAAATATTGTTCATTCCATCTACCTTACCATATTTTTGCACCCATTAACCATCTCCACTTTATCTGTCACCCCTTGTCTGCTAATTCTTCCCAGACTTGTAACCATCATTCTACTCTGTGTCTCTGTAAGATTAATTATTTTACGATATACCTCCCACATATGAATCAGAACATCTAAGATTCTCATCTGTGCTTGGCTTACTTTGCCTAACATTCTCCAGTTCTGTCCATGTTGTTGCAAATCACGGCACGGGATTTCATTCTTTCTCATGGCTGAATACAATAGTATTTAATTGTATATATGTATCTATTCACCCACTGATGGACACAGAGATTGATTCCAAATCTTGGCTATTATGAATAGTGCTACAATAAACATGGGAGTACAGAAGTGCAGATATCTTTTCAAAATACTGATTTCCATTTTTATTATTATATTATTATTTTGGATAAGTACCTAGCAGTGGGATTGCTAGGTTTATATGGTAGTTCTATTTTTAGTTTTTTGAGGAATGTCCATACTGTTTTCCATAGTGATTTACATAGTAATTTACATTCCCACCAGGAGGGTACTGAGTGCTTCCCTTTCTTTATATCCTTTCCAGTTTTTGTCATTGCCTCTTTGATAAAAGCCATTTTAACTGGGGTAAGATGATA